AACTTAACCGAATCGGCCGAAAAATCATTCGGCTAATTTTTATCAGGTGTTTCAGGAATTATGATAATAGCTGTAATAAAATTTTTCCGTGAATTTTATTCACGCAAATTTTTTAACATTTTTACAAAACATTGAATAATTCACATCTTATATAAAAATATCTAACAAGATATCAGACTTAAATTATTAGAGTAACATATTGTAGACCTTGAAGCTGAAAATGCTGAACTTAAGGCTGAGAATGCTGAGATTCCTGGACTTAGAAAAAAGTTTGCCGAAGTTGAAGCTAAGAATGCTAAACTTGAGACTGAGAACTTCGAGGCTAAAGCTGAAATTATGAAGCTAAGGCCCGAACTCAAGAGCGTCAGTGTTCAAGTGGATTATATCCGCAGAATATGCCACAGATGGGGTAGTACAGTATATAAGTATATATACTATTCATATTTTAATCCGGTTTTTTATGGTTCTATCCTGAAATCCCGAAAGCCATTTTCCCGAAAGGACATAATACTGACTAAACTGACCAGCATTATAACTAATGCTGGCTAACTTTGCCGGTATTATGTCTTTTTCGGGAATCTGTCTTTCGGGATTTCAGGGTAGAACCGTTTTTATAGTTGTCCAAATGCCATTCTTGAGATCACAATTGAGTAATCAGCGTGAACAATTTGTTTACGTACACGTAATATATTTTATATATCTACTTCCGTCACAGGTAGAAGAATGTCTATGTGAAACAAATCATCGGCTCTACAAAAAATAGATATAACTCTGTTAATACATATTTTTTTCCTCTGCCCATCATGAGCTAGACCCTCTAATCTATAATGAAGTTTTTTTTTCAAGGAGTTTAGGAAGATCAATGAAGCGATCTGGGGTTCTTGATTGTGAAACAATATAACTATAAGTTTGAGAATTTCTATGCAGTAGTTATCCAGCGAACTTACGGGAATTATGAGGAGACCCGAATTTTTGGCAAAACGAGTTTGGGAAGTGGTGGGGAATGACGGCACTCCTGACAGATGGAAATATTTAGGTATTATTCCTCGTGATGAGAGTTATTATTATATTAATAGAGAACTAATGGGAAAATTGATTTTTTTAATTCACTATATGGACATACCATGTATGTTGCTAGAACTTGGGCTGAAGAGAAACGAAGTCAATTAACGTATCAATTAAATTGGATGGTCTTTGACCAGTTAGAAAATTATTACAACAAGAAGGTTATGTACTTCTTTCTGGATCTGATTATGATACAATCCCAAATATTGTCTTGATACTGAAGAAAATCTCATTTATAGATAAAGGGACCGCATGACATAGAGATCCATAGCCCGCTATCTAAAGACTGGTGGTATAGTGATAAAGCATTCCGAGAGCGTCCTGGGAAAAGATTCATTAACTTTATTGAGAAAAACCAGCAATAAAAATTTCAGATATTTTTGAGGCGCTTCCCTACATGCAGTGATCGCCTAGTGAAACCTGCAGGTTTATGCGGGATGGGGTAAAATATTACGATTTGCCTATTCTGGATTAGTACATTATAAAACTCTAATGTACGCGCCTTTTTTGCTAATGTTGCTTTAACGCGTCTCCTTCCATTTGCTTTAATTTCGTAGTTGCGGGATATAAAAAGGCCTGTAGGGTAAATTTGATATGTATATTTTTTACATTGCGTACTACGTATTTTTGTATACCAAATCTAATACAATTTGTATCATGTCTTCAACTATTTAACATCGAGGAAATTTATCCGCATGTAACGATATCCCGTATACCAAGTATTTCGAGCTTTGTTCGTATGAGAACTGGTCCCTTCACCATTACGTCTCCCTCATACTTAATAACTATAAGTTTGCGGAGAAAGGAACGGCACATCTCTTATTTTATAATACTTTGCTGTCCATTAGCGATGATTCATGCATATCACAAGAAATTCAGGATGTTGTTCAAAAACTTCTAGAAAATAAAAAGGTAGGCATAATAGATACGAAATAAGATTTGATGGGGCTTTATAGCCAGGTACTTGTACCTATTAGAATGTCTAGTAGGAACTATGCAAATATCGAAATGAATGCGTTTGTTGGAATGGCTAATAAACATCATGAAGTATATATATTTTTTAGTAAATATCTGCTTATTCTGGAGAAGAATTCGGCTATTAAAAATACCTATTGATATATTTCTGCATTCGCCATCTATCTTATTTTTTGATTATGATTAGGGACGTGTCAGATATTAGCTGAGATCAATTTACTATAGAGTTCACCCCCCTCCCTGAGAAATTTAGTCATTCTTATTGGTTATGTATATATTTAGACCTGAGATTTTGTTTACTTCTCCCCCACCCTACGATATCAGCTGATATTTGATGACACTCCACTTACCGGGAATATTCTCACCTAGTTTGCTTTCTATAGGCTGATGTCAAAAAAGTAGATAGTCTGTGGGAAAAAGTTACAAAAGGAAAAAGACATCGTTACCACCAGCAACATTACCACTGACATCATCATCGTTGTCATCGAATCCGGTATCATCATCAGAGAAAAGGCAGAGGGACCACGATACGATAGGCACCCCTGCAAAGAAGCAATGTATAGTTCCCAATATAAGTTTCTTTTGCCCAGATATAGATGTGTCTTTGCAGAGCAATGGAGCTGTGAACACTCTGGTAGTGATTAAATCCGCTGTTCAAACATTTGACCAAAAAACAATTGCCTTTGGATCCACTCGCTTCTATAAATGTTCGAACCACTTGCAAGTAGAGTTCAAGTGCAATGCATGTGTTCCAAGAGAGTGTGTTTACGATGCAGAGATGTACAAAATCCTGCATAATTGGCTTGCAAAGGTGTATGAGTTTAACTTAACTGGCCAGTAGCATTTAGAAGGAATTGGTGATGATGGAAACTGGCACCATCTTTTTTGCGACATAGTAATAAAAAAGCCAGATAACCTCTATCCCGAAGTGATTTTTGAATTACAAGCAACAGGATCCATCTCTTTGCTTATAGAACATTTTGACCAAGCAACCAAGTATGTCGACCAACTTTATCCCAAGGAAGTTTGGATCGTGCATTTTTCTAGAGATGATTCTGTAGTGGTGAACCCATACTGGCCTAACCAGGAAAGAGGATTAAATGTCGTCCATTTTTGGCATGATAAAAAATTCGAAAACGTAAAGATGAGCGCTAAGTTTCAAGATGTTACTGGCGAATTTCAAGGAATAATAGACAAGCAAATTTTGCCTTAATTATTTAGGCCATCTTGAAAAAACATGATTTTTTTAGTAAAATAAATCTAGCTTTTAGCACAATAATTAGCGCTTAGTCAAGCTCATTTGGATTTTGTGCTATAACTATTTTTCTTTAAGAGTAGCATGGTACCTTATAAATATTAGTTTGGTGCAGGTCAAGGAAATGGAGCTTTCTAAATGAGAAAATTTTCATTATACAAAGCAAAATGATTGTAAAAAATTGGGCAATTTATCTTAAAGTGCGCATTTTCATAGTGCTTAGAGAATTGAGCTATAGTCTGAGATGTGCTACTATCTGCTCAAAAAAATTTTTTTGCTGCTGAATAGAATGTCTATTTATACAAAAAAAAATCTAAAAAAATCTATTTGTGTACTATCACAAAATTTATGTATATACGTACTGTATGTGCTATAAGATACCAAAACCTTTTAACGTATATTCTCATTTCTTCTAACTAAACATAAATCTAGATACAACAATAAATTATTTGAATACAAAATAACTAACTAATAAATAATTAATTTATAATAATCATAAAAATCTATTAACCATAAACCAAATACAACTCTCATCCAATTTTTTCAATATATTATTATAAAAAAGTAAACCAAAACTATTCAAATTCATTATTACTAATAATAACAACTTTATTTTAACACTAAAATAATAATCTTCATAATAATTCATAGAGTATATCAATTTATAATATATAATAATTCAATATATACATGATATATAATCTAATATATATATATATATATATTTTTAAGCAATCCTGCTTCTATTTATTTTATGAACTACTATATGATTAATTACATAAGTAACCACCAACATAGTGTAATGCTCTATTCTAATAGAAACTCACCAAGCATATAAAGTACTGCCCAATGTGACCTGCTAAAACAACTATTAGTCTCACAAAGGGATCCAAAACTCGCTTCAGATTTCGTATCGACAAAGGATACCCCCTCGATCATTTGACTGGATGTTGTATACCGCATCAGGATCTCTTTTTTCTCTTCTAATTCTTCCTTCTTCTCAAGAGGCACAAGACAAAAGGGGGAAATTTTAAACAAACAGTAACGAAAACGACCAGAAAAAAAGAAAAAACAGAGAAAAAGAAAAAACCTAAAAAGAAATCTAAAACCCTGAAGACACTATTATAGCCTGTGTGTGGCTGATAAAAATTATATAACAAATGCAACATTTGTATATTTCTACTATAAAGCTATGCCTTAACATTAAATTTACTTTCTGACCTTCTCACCAACTCCGGATGGCTTCGTTGTCTGTCCTAATTCATATCTCAAGCCAGGTGCTGCCATCGTCCGAGGACCCGTGTCTCAAGCCACCTGCTGCCGTAATTAGAGTTTCCAGGCCGAGTTCCATGAAAAAGTGCCATATTCGTCCGTAAACAAACATGTGGTTGCATTCTGCTAATCCGTCCAAATTTGGGAAGTAAACAATGCCGATCTTTTGGAGAGGGTAAGCCAAATCCTCACTTTTTGTTAAAAATTTTTGGAAGACTGATGGAAGGATGAGAGAGAGTATAAGATACCACTTGACCAAGTAAAAGGAGTGCGGCTTGAAGAAAATAACAGGATATCTTGTTGTTCCCCAGTGTCTTCAAAGAAGTATGGCTTAAGAGCTTCGTTGATGAAGAAAAAGGAGTGTCTAAAGAGTCCTCTTCTCTACCAAGATTTTTTATACAAGGGCACCTCCTGCCAGTTATCTTGTATAATAATGCTCTTGGCTTGCATACCGAATGTCACCATATAGGAGTCCCACTGACAGACGTTGACCTCTAGATAAACCGCTATGTTAGGCCACGACTCTCTAACAAAATTTGTGTTTTTCTTCTGTAAGAATTTTGGACCAAGTGATTGTTGGAAAGAGTTGAATTGATCTAATATATATTATAATTACTTAATTATTATTATAGATTATGATTATGATTATTATTATTATTATTATTAATTTTTTTTTTATACACCTATCATTTTATATAAAAGTAATCTTTATAATTAATTTAATTATAATAAATTTTATGCTTCATTAATTAAAAAGATAATCATAAAAATCAACAAAATAATTTATTATTACTAATTTTTTATTTACATCATAATTTCTTATTCAGAAATATATAAATTATATAATCTATTAACTAAATATATATAATAAATCATATAACTGAAAATCTATAATAAATCAATACTGTATAACAATGTAAGTTAACTTTGAAACCAACTTTTATTTTTTATTTAGAACTTAAATTCTGACCTTAAAATTACTATTACCAAAAAATTGCTTACTAATTATAATAGTTCAAAATTTGTCTTAGCTTCATACAGTAATATTAAACCAACTTAGTAAATTTAACTTTATTTATAAATTCTCCAATACTTGTTGTAGTATCCAAACAATATATTATACAAAACTCTTTGCTACTTGGTTTTCTCAAAATTATTTCAGCCATTAGTGTTCCTATGAACCGAACTGAAACCGAACTTTGGTCAAGTTCAGGTTCAGGTTCAGTTCAATCATGTTCAAT